GGACTTGGTACAGGAGGCTTTGGAGAAGGTTAAGGTGATTCAGGATCGACTCTGTATAGCCCAGTCCAGACAGAAGAGCTACGTGGACCGGAAGGTTCGTGATGTTTCCTATATGGTTGGAGAGCGGGTTCTACTTTGGGTTTCGCCTATAAAGGGCGTTATGAGATTCGGGAAGAAAGGAAAGTTGAGTCCGAGGTTTATTGGTCCTTTTGAGATATTGCGGCGTGTTGGGAAGGTTACTTATGAGCTTGCCCTACCTCCCAGTTTGGCAGGAGTTCATCCGGTATTCCATGTTTCGATGCTCCAGAGGTATCACGGTGATCCATCGCATGTGTTGGATACCAGTTCAGTCCAGTTGGACAAGGATCTATCCTATGTTAAGGAGCCAGTGGAAATATTGGATATGCACGTTAGAAAGCTGAGGTCAAAGAACATTGTATTAGTGAAAGTTCAGTGGCGGGGTCAGCCGGTCGAGGAGGTGATCTGGTAGACCGAGCAGGATATGCATAGCCGTTACCCTCATCTTTTCACTACTTCAGGTATGTCACTATGCTCGTTCAAGGATGATCAAATGTTTAAGTGTAGGAGGATGTGATGACCCGACCGTTGTCTTAAGAATTCACGCCCCAATCCCCTATTAACTGCTTTTCCCATGTTTATTTCTGCTATTTTGATTTGCCGGGATGTTCGGTTTTGAGTTTCGGAGAGTTTTGGGACACTTAGTCCCTAAATGAGAGCTTAACTGTTGGAAATTTGACCATAGTCAGAATAGTGTGAAGATGATTCTGACGGTTCCGTTAGCTCCGTTGGGTGATTTCGGGCTTAGGGGCATGTTCGAATTGTGTTTTGGAGGTTCGTAGCTAATTTAGGCTTGAAATGCTAAAGTCAAATTTTGAAGTTTCCGGTTCGATAGTGAGATTTTGATCCAAGGGTCGGAATGAAATTCCGGAAGTTGGAGTAGCTCTATAGTGTTGAATGTAATGTGTGTGCAAATTTTCAGGTCATTCAGACGAGGTTTGATAGACTTTTTGATCGAAAGTGTATTTTTAGAGTTTTGGAGTTCTTAGGCTTGAATTCGCGGTTGATTCATCGTTTAGATGTTGTTTTAGGTGTTTTAAGGATTGATAGAAGTTTGGGCAGTGGTATTAGACTTGTTGGTGCCTTTGGTTGAGGTCCCGGGGGCCTCAGGATGGTTTTGGAAGGTTGTTGGAAGAATTTGGATTTTGGTGAGACGCTTTAGCTGCTGGTTTTCTGTCATAACTGCACCTGTGGTTGGGTTCCGCAGGTGCGTAGCCGAAAAAGCGGCATCGCCATCATAGAAGTGGAAAAGGAAGAAGCTGGTAGGGACCTCAGAAGCGGCCTCACATTTGCGTAAGGTTAACCGCAGGTGCGGGAGCTGGGCTTTAAGTGAAATGTCACAGAAGCGACCATGTCCTCGCAGAAGCGGGACCGCAGATGCAGTCCCAGGGACGCAGAAGCGGATTAACTGGACAGAAATATATAAATACTTGCCTTTGCGAATTTGAGTTATTTTCACCTCTTTTCAAACGGGAAGAAGCCTTGGAGACCATTTTCAAGAGAGATTTTCGGAGGAATTCATTGGGGTAAGGTCTTTGGTCCCTAAACTCGTTATTGGAGTGATTTTTATCATTATAAGCATGAAAAATTAAGGAAAATCAGTGGTAATTTTGGGGTTAGGGCTTGACTAATTAGAGGCCTTTGAGTAATTTTTTGAGAGACCAATTGAGGTCCGATTTTGGTACTTTTGTTATAAATGAACTCATGAGAGTGTGAGAATTCTGGAAATGTAACTTTTACCTGATTTTGAGACGTGGGCCCGAGTGGCATTTTGGTCATTTTACCTAATTTCGCGTATTAGCTTAGAATTTCTTTGTAGAATCAGTTGCTTGAAGTGTTATTTACATTATGAAATTGAATTGAATAGATTTGGACCATTTGGAGTTGAGTACTCGTGGCAAGAGCATGGTTTCAGATTGATTTGAGCTGGTTCGAAATAAGTGGCTTGCCTAACCTTGTGTGGAGGACCTTCCCCTTAGGATTTGATATTGTTGTTAATTGAAATGCCTTGTACGTGAGGTGACGAGTGCGTACTTGTGCTAATTGTTGAAAATCTGGTTTTCATTAAGTAGTTACTAGTATGTTTCCTTCCCTGGTTATGTTACTTGCACTTTAAGCCTGTTGTTAGCGTAGGAAAGCATGTCTAAGTGATTTAATTGCTTTATTTGCTCAAACTGCTTTACCTGGATTCTGTGCAGCATGCTAGACTAAAACTACTTGATTGCCTTAATATGAAATTGACATTGCTGAATATTTTCCTGTTGCTGCTGTGTATTTACATTGGAACTACGGACGTGGGATTCCGATAGATCCCCCTTGTCTATTTATTTGGGACTGCGGATGTGGGATTCCGGTAGATCCCCTTACACAGTTATATGGAACTATGGGACTACACTCGGTAGATTCCCCCAGTACTAGGTATTTATATTTGGGACTATAGATCGGGATTTCGGTAGATCCCTGCTCACTGATAGTTGGACTATGGGACGACATCCCAGGAGATCCACTGGATAGATGTAATTGGGACTACAGGACGGTATCCTGGAAGGTACCCCGGTTGTTATCTCTATGTTGAGTTGTCTTTCCTCTTCGTGATTATTTTGTCTCTGTTCTAGTGGTTGTTAGTCTTTCTATTCTATGTTATTTCTTACTGTTGCACTTAATTATACTGTCTTATTCTACACTGTCAAACTTTATATTTTATTTAACCTCAGTAGGATCCTGACCTTCCTCGTCACTACCCGACCGAGGTTAGGCTCGGCACTTACTGAGTACCGTTGTGGTGTACTCATGCCCTTTCTGCGCATGGTTTTCATGTGCAGATCCAGGTACTTCGACTCAGTCCTATCACCCTTGAGGCGAGGCGACTGTTCCAGAGACTTCGAGGTATATCTGCCACGTCCACAGACCGAGGAGTCCCTTTCTACTCTCCCTATTGCATTAGCCCTTCTGTATTTCTTTTCCTTGTTAGATATTATGGATTTAGACACTGGTAGACATTCCAAGGCTTGTGGTTTCATGAGATTCCGAGTTTTGGAAAATGTTGTTAGTTTCGAGAAGTTGTATTATATATGTCGAGCGGCATTTTAAATACTGTTTCATTCGATTATTTTGGCTTTTAATTATTTCTTCCTCAAGTTTTGTTTACTTTTTCATTTGTTAGGTTTACCTAGTCGTAGAGACTAGGTGCCGTCACGGCAGTTCACGGAGGGCGAACTGGGGTCATGATATTTACATTTTCTTTCCTATCTAAATTTGTATTCCGAACAGTGCTGTATTTTATTTTATTTTCTAGTAAATGCTCATGTACTTGTGACACCGGGTTCTGGGATAATTATGGGATATTCAGTATTGAAATTGGAAAATAATATTATTTATTTTGTAAAGTTCATCTTTTACTAGTTAAATTGAAGGAAATTTGTGATTTCAAAAACATTAAAATGAGAATTTAATTAACTAATTAGTGTTAGCTTGCCTGACAGTGGTGTCCGGCGCCATCATGACCTTTAACGAATTTTGGGTCGTGACAACTTTTATAGTACTTACCTCCTTATTATGACCATCTTGATCATTTGCTCCTCTCCTTCTTCAAGGAATTTTATCTTTGAGACCGACTAGTCTATTACGATTCATGCATACCATGGACTCTATCCGTCATGAACTTTATTCTATTTGGAGCATTAGTAGCTGAAATATGACATTTAGCTTTGAGTTAGCAAATCTCCTGGCAATATTTTGCAAATGAATTATCACTTGAACTTTAAGTTCACATTTTCTTGTACGAGAATATAGGTGTATAATAATTTATTCTATGTGTTACTTTTTCAACAGCCCATTTTCTCCTCTTAATATTGGGATCACCAACACATATCCCCAACCTTTTTTGGAGACCCATCTTTGTGCATTATGGTGGAATAATTAAATCATATAGTACATCCATATATCTAGATAGAAATTATTTGTTCTTGACCCTGAACCACTAATGATAAGGAGAATTTACCATAATTTGTTGGCTAGATGCGTACAAGTGCTGCTATATATTAAATAATACATATCATACCAAATGTTTTTGGGGAGTTTTGTTCTCATAACCAATGGATTAGCTATAATTGGAGGCATATAATTTCTGTTAAACCAACTTGGATTTAAACCAGCATTATCAAGATAATCATCATAATTTACATTCTGGAACTATGCTTTAATAATTTGAGCAAACAACCTTACAAAAGCCAAACTACAAGTTGATAACAAAACACTTGTGACCATACAATAGATGCATCTATCAAAATCATACAATAGTAAACGGTCCACATGTCAGGTGACTGGGCCCCCTTATATATCACCTTTTATTCGTTTGAGAAATCAAGAGATTCAATCCCAACCTTAATTGGTATATTATGAGAATAATCTAGAGAATTCTTGAAGAATCGTCTATTTCTTCAATATATGCCATTGTGAATTATCAATTAATTTTCACATCATAATTAAATCGCGATGGCCAACCGGTCATGCCAACTAGCATTTGTTTCAGTAAACCTCTAGTTTACTTGTGTCATGTGATTCCATCATCATGCTTATACTTATGTAGTATAAATAGAAGGAAAGTCGGGTAACTTGTTATACTTATCCAGTATGATTATAGTAATATGAAAATATTCAATCTTTCTTTCATTTATAGTTTCAATATGCCAACCATTTTGGCTAATATATTTGAAACTCAAAAATTTTCTTTTGAGATTTACTACAGTATCAATGTCATGAACAATTTCATTCATCCGGGTAGTAATAAATTAGTTCTTTCGGAGCTCTTAATTGATTTTGTTGTCACGACCAAAATTTCTCTATGTTGGGTATCATGATAGGGACTATGTAAGCCTAACATTAATTGAAACAACAATAATATTTAATAACATCTAACAATGTGAAATAGAAATCACTTTAAAATTTATAACCCAAAACCGGTAGTACAAGTCATAAAGCTCTACAGAGTTGCTAGAAAACCTCTAAATACAACTGTCTCGAAATAAGAGTGAACATTGTAAATACAAAATAAGAAGGTGACTATGAAGCCTGGGAACGCGGCAACAGGTTTACGTTGAGTCTCCTCAATAACAATCCACACAACTAGCTAAAGATCAACCGACTTCGAAATACCTGGATCTGCACAAGAAATGTGCAGAAGTGTAGTATGAGTACACCACAGCGGTACCCAGCAAGTATCAAGATTAACCTCGGTGGAGTAGTGACGAAGAACAATCAAGACACCTACTGAACTAAATAACCTAAATGAATATAAGTGTAGAAAAAATAGAGTACGATATCTATATAATAACTACGCATAATGATAATGATAATAATACGGTAATTGCAGTAAGAAAGGAAAACAACAACTAACAACGGAACACCATAATAATGACACAATAGGGTAAGTTGAACACTGTTTAAATCCGTAAGCACGATTAAAAAGAAGGCAGGTAGCAACCAGATAAAAATAACCACTTTTTCATTGGGATTTAGCCAATAACCTTCACGAGGTCACGAACCTCAATTATTCATAACTTAGAACACTTGGCACCTTGTGCCCTCACTACAACCAACAACTGAATGGACGACGCACATGCCAATAGAACCAGATGAGGATGTGTAGAAATGATCAATAACATCAAGGTCCGTTGTCTACACCAGTAAGAGTGATTAACTACATGTATGCTTGTTCAAGTGTTCTAACATAGTTCATGCCAGCTAGTAAGTATAGAAAAAGGAATGGACAACACGTAAAATATTTTCCCACAAGATAAAACTCACACATGTAAGTGCACCACCACACAAATATCAACAACAAGAATGCCCCTAGGCCATCGCAAGTCATCATAAATCAATCCCTGACATAGCCACCTTGTCTCGCCAAGTGTACAATAATATTATAAATACCCGCCTTGTCTCGCCATGCGTGCATAATAATATCCCCACCNACGGCAGATACTTCGTGCAACCCAATAACACAAGTACGACAGAAACCTCGTGCATCACAATAACAACAACCGCACGGCAAAAACCTCGTGCATCACAATAACAAGTACAATAGCAACAATGATAATAAATACAAAAGTATGGCAAGTAAATCAACTCAAGAACTTTCGATCACAAAGAAATGGTAGAACTAGCTCACAAGGAAAAACCACAATAGAGAATACTAGGCATAATAAGAACAACCCAACAAGGGAGGAAATAATATGTAACAACGATCCCATAATATAAAAGTTAAACAACAAGGGAGCTAATACAAGTCAAATTATTTCAAATAAGGGCATGTCAACTAAGATATAGGATATCTAAACTTCTTTTAAGATTGGGCAATTACGAAGAAGATACAACAAATTCACTTAAGGATAAGCAGCGGAAAGAAAATCATAACCTCAATTAAGACCAAACAATTACAGGAGAGATAATAATAATTTCAACTAAAGATAAGCAGTTATGAAAATATAGCATGACAATAGAAGAGGTAAAAATCTCCGGTTCAGTCAAATAAGCAATGAGAGTGGATCATGAAGCAACTAATTCCACTTAAAGCACGTAGGGGTGAAACTAGTAATTAAGAAACTTTATCATAACAAAAACAACTTCATACTTAGTGAATATAAGGACCCAAGAATCCTAAAAGGCCAACTTTCTACAAATAAGTCCGAGCACGTATTCGTCACCTCACGTACACGGACTACAATTAGCATAGAAGACTCAAATCCTAAGAGGTAGTTCCCCCACATAAAGTTAAACAAGATACTTACCTCAAGAAGACAATTCGATATTCAAAAATGAACTCCTCGGATGAAATAACTCCAGACGGCTCAAATCTAGCGAAACTAACTTCAAAGCATAAATAAAACTTATAAGAAACGATTCCAGATCATAAAGCCTCAATCTTTATCAAACACTAAAAATCATCCCAAAATTGACCCCCAGGCCCGCACCTCGATAACCTGACAAATTTTACAAAATCCGAACACCCATTCCGATACGAGTTCAACCAAACAAAAATCATCAAATTTCGATATCATTTGGTCCCTCAAATCATCATTTTTTATTTTTAAAGTTTTCTTAAAAATTCTCATTTTTCCTCAACCCAAAACAAAAATTAAATAATAAAAATAAAGATAAAATCATGGAATATAATAAATTCTAGGTGAAGAATACTTACCCAATTGTTTTGCTTGAAAAATCCACAAAGAATTGCTCAAAACCGAGCTCTAGAACTCCAAAAATGGTGAAAATGGAAAACTCTTAGAATAGAGTAATATTTATTCGGCCTAGGTGCTAAAGCATCGCGAACGCGGAAGGACAATCGCATTCGCGAAGAAGAAAAATGAAAGCTGCCCAGAAGACCCTTCACGAACACTAGCAAAGGGACTCAAACGCGAAGAACAAGGGACATGAACTTACACGAATGCGTAAGGGGACATGCGAACGCGAAGAGGAAATGATCACCAGTGCCCAGGGCCTGGTTTGCACTACGCGAACGTGAGATGGAGAATACGAACGCGAAGAAGGAAGTGGAAGAACTTTGACAACGCGAGAGGATATGCGAAGATGAAATATTTCATCCTCCAAAATAACACTACGCGAACATGAAGGCAAGGAGGCGAACGTGATAAAGGAAACTAGATGACAGAAAACAACAGTCCAAAAATAGAAGGAAATGGCCCGTAGCCCATTCGAAACTCACTCGAGGCCCCCGGGACCTCATCTAAGCATACCAACAAGTTCCATAACCTAACATGGACTCGCTTGAGGTCTCATATCATATCAAACAATGTCGAAACTACGAATCGCACCAAAAATCGAACTTATGAACTTTTAAATCTTCCAACTTCTAATACTTGTCACACCTCCTTTTTTTACCCCCGAAAGGGGAGTATAAGAGAGTTTTTTCAATTAAAGTGACAATGACCGAAACAGAATTTATTTTATATTAAATCAGAGTCGCCACTTGGGATAATTTATGGTGACCCAAGTTACCGGTTAAAATTCCGAATCGAGGAAGTTTGACTCTGTTATACAGTCTGCGAAACATAGAAATCCGGGTAAGGAATTCTGTTAACCCGGAAGAAAGTGTTAGGCATTCCCAAGTTTTGTGGTTTTAGCACGGTCGCTTTGATCATACTTGGCTTATTAAATTATGTAATTACTTATTTTAAAACCTATGTACATTTACCTCTTACCGCTTTTAATTAAGAAATTATCCTAAAGCGAGTCACGCATACGTATACTCATTTTATTTGGCGCGTAGAAATCATGTCACGCGTAGGTGTCCACAATTAATCATGCTTTATTAATATTAAGAAAGTTTGGTCGAAGTTGCGCGAACTCATACCTCGATTTATTTTAAAAATCGTAATTATGTCACGCGAATGTGTATACAGTTATGATACTTATTTATTAATACGCGCCTAAATCATACTAGCAATTATTCAAGTAAATAAGTAACAAACATTGAAGTTTTGATTTTCATTTCAGTTTAGTTTAATGCCTCCACGGCCAATTTCCAACAAAGAAACACACAAACAGTGACAGATATGAACAGAATAAACGAAGTCAAAAATCCAAGCAAAGAAAGTATCTAAGACAAAATAGTCATCTAAGCAATTAGGAGTAAATACAGAAATCGATGGTAAATAACCAAAAGGGATTAAAACATGATCTCAGTCCACTTTGTAACAATAGGAGACCATTCTGACTCTACTGACCCACAAAACTTAAATGATAAAATACTACTAGTAGTACATAAGCTCAAGATTGATGGGGAAGTCTGCATTTGTTTTGACGTGATGGACCTTGTAGACTTAGCCTTTAGAAACTTTATTAATTGAAAATCTCTTTCACATAAGAGAACAAAACCTTTTATATGTTATGGACACTTTTAAGAAAAGATGACGAGGATGCTTATTAAAGAAATCTAAACTTAAGAAAAGCTCTAACAACAAAACCTCTTACTTAGAACTATAAGAATTTAAACTACTCATGAAAAGCATTTTAAAAGAAAACTAAACACTAGATGACAATTCGGATCTAACATAGCTTAACACAATTAGAGTGTAAGAAATAGCAGAAGAGAAATAAACGAGCCTAAGAATAAACTTGACATTAATCCCAATAATTAAGGATAGTTTCATGGATTTAATAGCACATTTTACTATTGTACCACACAAAAACGAAAATAGTGAAAGGAGTGTGAAGAATAAACCTCATATGAGCTTCTTTAATTTAGTGAAAGATCCAATAGCTACAAGCAAATCTGGATTCTTTGAATAGAATCTTTCTTTATTTTAAACATGAAGAAACTCCATTGAAGGTCTGATCTTTGAATCAACGACCAAAAAACTGGCCAGAAAACTTGAGCTAAATGTACGAAAATCTCGAACCAAGACTGGAGCTCGAACGACGGCGGCGAACTCGACTCGATCCGGACAGAATACCGCAGCAAACGACCGTGACAAGGCCTGTTTTATGACTGGCTTTGAAGGTGGCAATAGGGGTATTTTGAAGAGGGTAGGGTGACTGAAGCTTTTTGAGAGGAGGTGAGGTGAGAATCTGGCTATGGAAACGATCGAGAAATTTTCATTTTTGGGGAGGTGCCGCTGCTCTTCTTGGGGGAGCTAAAATGTCTAATAAAAGGGGTGAAGAAAACGACAGTCCTCAGTCTTAGGTTTAGGGTCTTGGTTTTCCAATCTTCTAGACTCTTCCTATAAAAATGCTCATGGTAGAAAATTCTTGGAACCTAAGAAACGTGTGAGCCCCTTTTAATGTCAGGTGAGATGAATGAAAGGGATCTAAGTTTGTGAGGGTAGTGTGATGTGCCTATTTTCTGAGGGGAAGGGATTAAAATGTGAGTTGGTTAGAGTGAGAGATAAAGGTAATGATATAATAACAACAAAATAGAAAATACTACAAATACTAATATTAATTACAAGCAATATTATTATTAAACATAAAAGAAAGGTAAATAACTACTTAAAGTTATATGATTCCCAAGAAAATTGTGAATGCCACACATTGCTACTTGCAATCGCCAAAGGTCATGACTGAAGCAAAACATTTTCCTTTTTCTTGTTTTTGGGTTTGCTTTTTTTTCCATTCATTCTTTTCTAATTTCCTCTTCTTCTTCTTTTTTGTAAAGATAAACCCCAAAATGCTAATTATTTAAAATAATTGAGAATAGTTAAAAAGAAAAATAAGATATCTATATTAAAAAAAACTTAAATACTACTCAATACTTATATAAGACCTACAACTTAAAATTCACACTACTAAGTAAAAGTATTTTTTGAAACTTTTCCTTTTTTATCTTTTGTAAAAATAAAATAAAACTAACTAGTCAAAATATCAATAAGCTAAACAAAGAAAATATTTTTGTAGTTTTTTAAATTTTAAGATTAAATAAAACAAAAACGTTTAAAAAGGTCAAAATAGTGATATTAGGCCTAAAACCAACATCTAAGCACTAAACGGTATAAAATTTCGGGGAGGGTCAAAAATTACATGTCTATAGCTGCCCCTCTTTGACTGAAAATACAAAGAGTTTTCAGACAAAGAATGACGAGACAGGTTTTTTGACCTGAACCTTATTTAGAGAGACCAAAAACTAAATGAAAAGGGAATGTGACTGAGCCCTGGTATCTGAGCTACCTACATATCCTTGGCTATAAAAGAATCAGGCCACGTGTAGTTCAGAGTGAATGAGGTGAAGGAGTGTGTGGAGAGGATGAGAGAGTCGAGTGAGATTCCGTCGAGATTCCGGTCTGTGGTCCTGTTATTACATAAAAAAACAAAATTAAAAAGACTAACTAAGCCTATCAGCTACGAGTTACAAGATTCCTATCTACGAGTCTTCTGAAGCTTGATCTTGAGTCTTGGTTGGTTCTTTATGCGGACTCTGATCTAAATTTTAATGCTTGTTAGCTGCAGGTGTTAGTTCATTTTTCCACGGCTTCTTCGAATCAAGATCGGACATGCAGTGCTCGTGACTTTAGCCATGTCTTGAGCAGTTCACATCTTTTATCTACTTCTGCATTCACTTTTTTTCCTTTCTTTTATTCTGGATTGAGACTCCTTTTGGTCATCTCGAACTGTCGACTCACATTCTTGAAGCGAACTTCTGCTACTTCTAACTTAAATTGAATTCTGAAATGACTTCTCTCGTTCTCCAAGTGGGCACCTGCTGCTGAATATTTTGAAATGAATTCCCTTGTTTTCCAGGTGGGCGCCTGATTGCCAAAACTTGAATTGTATTCCTTGTTTTTCAGGTGGGCGCCTGATTGCCAAAACTTAAACTTTATTCCCTCGTTCTCCAGATTGCCAAAACTTGAACTGTATTCCCTGATTCTCTAGGTGGGCGCCTGATTGCCAAAACTTGAACTGTATTTCCTTGTTCTCCAGGTGGGC